GCCCCCGCCCTGCCGGTGCAGAGTCATTCTTGTCTCTCTCTCTCAATGAAATACACAGCATGTGTGGGCTGGAAAAAACAGGGCAAAAATCCCCCCCCCCTTTTTTTAGAAAACATTAGTGTGAAGTATTGGCAAATCCTTTAAACTGTTTTTCAGCATAGAAAGCACTGCCAGAAAGGAAAGAAATTGCTCTGCAAACAGCCTGGAAGACATGATTATCTATGCAATAGACAAGAACATGCTCCATAAGTAGGGACAGGGATACGGTTTCCTTTCATGAGAGCATAGTCACCTGGTCCTTAATCATGCCAACAGAGACCTAATGTTCAGAGCCTGGAACACAAGAGATGCCTGAGAGAGATGGAGCAGCTATTTCTGCAGGTCGGCAGATGACGATTTGTTTCTGTCTGAATGATACAAGGTGATTTTCCTGACTGATCCTTATAAAGCATTGTCTTCCTTCACTGGCTCTTTCATACACCTTTGATTTCCCAGTTTGGAAAACTGGAGCTTGCTTTCCCACTCTTTGCTTCCTTCCTTTGGAACCCAAACTCCATGGCATTCACCAAAATATTATTTCTTGCCCTGTTCATTATGCACCTGTCAAGTAATTTATCAAAAGAAGCCTCTCTCATTTCAGTCAGGACAGAAAACAGAAGTTACCTGGCTGCTGTCATCTGTTGTCCGAAACAGTTTACTGAATTAAAAGCCAAATAAGACCCTCATAATCCTTCCTAGTGCTGCAAGAGTTTCTGCTCTACCAATACTGCAAGAGCAAAACCAACTCATATAAATTGGATTATTCAGTCTTTGACAAGGTCATGTAATTTATCTCAAGGTAATGCAGTTTATCCTGCAAGGAATAGTTTCTCTGAACTTACAACCTAAAATTCCTAGGCTTCTCATCAGGTCACTCTTCAGACAGGGTAATCTCTTGATTCTTTTTTCAATGGGGATTTCAAACCACAAGAAATACAGTACTCTATATGCGAACCAGCGTGAACACTTCCTGCTTTGAAACAGCCCCTCTTTTGATGCCTTTAAATGACAAGCCTTGGTCCTGCCTCATCACACAGCTAATAAATAAGACCTCTGACTTCCTCTGAAGATGACCTGCTCCGGGCAAGGAAGGTGGGTCTCCAGGGTCATGCTAGGCAGAGAAATAATCTTATGTCACCTCCCTGCAGCATCAGTTGCATTCAGCTAGTGTGTGAAGAGCAGAACATGGTGACTCGGAGATGTACAGTAATTTCACCCCCGTTTCCCTGTACAGTACTCATCCATAACTCCTCTTTTCAATGCAGTGGGTTAGAGATATGTCTTCTTGGTATTGCTTTCCCCGCCACATTGCATCATTTGGATTTAAAATGCGTAATTACAGAGCAAATATCTAAACACTACTGGAGCGTTCAGGTGCTAACCAACATACCAAAAGTTAACCTCCCCCTGTACATATTTGTAGTAGAGACACAGGGGACTACCAGGCTGAACCTGTTTTTCATTTGCAGGTTTGCTAACGCCCCATGCGTTTACAGCACTGGGATGTCCAGTACAAGGCGCTCAGAGCTCCTGGCGGTACCAGACGTGGCTTCTCTCTCCTGTGGCCTCGCAGCCTCAGCAGAGCTGCTGGGAAATCTCCTCCCATCCACCAGGTATATTACAATGCATTGTGTGGGACTCCAACTAGCAGGTCCTTCCTGGAGGTACCTGGCATAACACAGGTCACACTCTCTACCGTGTAGCTATTTGTTGGATTGTAAACCCTGGCAGCTCTTGCCTGCCCTGTTCTAACTCCCTGTGTACATACAAACAGCCATGAGGTCCCGCTCTCAGCCTCTGCTCTGCTAGGTTAAAAAGCCAGTGTTCCTCTAGTCTCCACCTCTGCAGTGCAGACCTCCCCTTTTTGTTATCATAGGAGTAGCTTTTCTCCCGAAGATCCAGTGTGGATTTATTCTCCTTGAATACAGGCAACCACAACTGTAGAAAACACTTCACCAGTCTCTTGGGATAACTTTGGGAAGATGACTTCTGCTGTGGAATTTATCCAGTAAGGCTGGAACTGGGAAGAAGCAGCAGTGAGATGCCAGCAGGATATGGGCAACTTTCCCAATGTCCCACAAGACGTCAATGGCAAATTTGGGAACTGCACCGCAGCCCAGGGTTTAGGCCCAAAGACAAGAATGGATCAGGTAGACTGAACTGTTGTAGAACACGTGCCAACACACAGTATTTTCTTGGAAGCCCAAAGCTTTATTTGCTGTCATCAAGATGCTTCCTGACTCACCTCGGCTCTGAGATACTTGCATGCATGAAAGCCAGGTAGTTGTCTTTGAGCGAGCAAAGGATCTGAATGGCCACGTAGCAAATCTGTGTTGCAATGTTTATCCTCACCTAGAATTTAGGAGGCTGTCACAAGTTTTGTCAGGGGACTCTCCCCCTGTTAGGATGCCCAAGTGGTCACTTTGCAGCCAGATGGCACTTTCAAGATGTCAGCGTCCCTGGATACTTGCTGGAGGACCAATGCTAGCTTGAAGCCACCTCCTGAATCACGGCAACATTATTTTGTCTTTCAACTTTGGGGCTGTTGCTTAAAAATAGTCTCCCATTTATGTGCATGATCCATCCCTACCTCAAGCAAAGAAAGAGGAGCATGGGACACACTGACTGCAAGGCAGCTTTCCTTAGTTGAGGGTTCATGTGAGTCAGTGGGTCTGTGTGCCTGCCCATGAGCACGCATGCCCATGATGGAGCCCCACTTGCCCCTATATCATCCATCTAGTGCTCCCACAAAAGGTACTGTCATTAGGCAAATACCAGCTACAGAGGTTAAGTCTGTCCGTGTCAAAGGAGAAACACAGCAATTATTCCAAAAGATGCATCCTTGTGGATGGATGCTCTCAAAACTACTTCAAGACAGATGGACCAGGCAGCTATGTTTAAGTGCACCAGTACTAAAATAATAACAGTGAGGGTTTTTTTTTGTTTTTGTTTTTGTTTAAGTCGTCAGTGGTGGTGCTCAGTTGAAATCTCACCAGCTCAGAAAACCTCTACAGATGCAGGAGAGGAGAGCAGCTGCCTGCCCTGTGTTCGGCTGGCACAGAATCTCCTAGGTACCAGATCTTTAAAAGCACAGCCCAAAATGTTACATGTTACCAAAGGGGCTGGAGCTGCTCTCTGCACAGTCACGCTCATGCCAGCAACCAACTTTAGATCATAGGAAATGGATTCCTTTCTTCCCCCTCTTCTCTGCAACCCACACTCTCCAATGGTACAAGCACGACCTCTGTCTTTAAAAATAAGTTATTTAATTCAAATTGACTTTTTTCAAGACAATAAAGTTTGAGGATGGAACTGTTCCTTCATTCTGCCAAAGAACAAACTTCAAAAAAAAAAAAAAACCTCCCCGGTGAATTAAAGCAGAGAAAGACTTGTTAGGTGAAAGTTTTTATTGCTACGTGCTCCCCAATACAACAAACAGGATCAGTAGTGTACACTTTTATGAAAGAGAAATTAGCTTGGTAGACAAGAAAGCAAAAAGGTACAAGGATTATCTACACCCATATTGTACGTATGTAGAAGATAAAGACAGAGAGAAAGACAATTTGACCTTGGGGAACTTCAAAGTAACCAACACACCCTCGTTGTCTGTTTGAGGCTCAGGGAATGGCTGTACAATCTACTGAACACTAATTTCTTTGACCCTCAGAAGCCTTGCAGAAAGGGAGCAGCAGGTCCTTCGAGGTGTCGAGTCAATGCTTTAGTGGGTTAGCTTATGCCCATGGCAATGCAAGATGTGTCCTGCATAGCATGACCCTATACTCCCCCGAACAGGATTAATCTACCTATGTTCTCATTTCCATTAAAGGTCTCCTGACAAAACAACTCATCCCGATTTAATTCTGGTGATCCTGCATAATCACTACGTCTGTTTCTTTCTAGATTTTAATCCATGGAGTCCTAATTTATTTGGCAGTATTTCAGTGCTATATATGCACTGCTCTTTTAAATGGGTCAATCACGAGGATTTTTGTATGGGGAAGCAAAAATTGCACATGAAACTTTAATAAGCTATATAGAACTTAGAGATGCCTGTAAGAAAAAATTGTCCTCGGATTTTTTTTTTTTTAAAAGATGATGATCAACAATTTCTCTACAGTAGTTTAGTTAGCTTAAATTTCTGTTCTATCCATATGCCATAGCATGTACAGGTATCTAATTACATCTCTCTCTTTTATCTTGGCAAAAAGAATAGTCAACTGCCCTTAGTGTAAATATTTAGTACATAAAATACTATCAAGAATTCCACTTTTAATAAATATCTTTAGTTCTCAGTCCTATATACAAGTACTTTACAGCAACACCCAGGAGAGAGTGGGATTGGGTAGACTGTGAACAAGATGGCTAGTGACATACATTCCTGGTACATGATTGCAGTCAGATGCATTGTGGTTGTGGAGATTTTGAGGTGAACCATGCTGAAAAATAAATATCTCTCCCACCTTTAAATCAATGCTTCCAGTAGGAAAAAGAAAAAAAAAAACAATCTATTTTAAGTCTTGCCACAGCTATTTCTTGTTAGTGCCTATTCTACCTCTGTGATGCTTTTTCAGCTTCAGAAAGAACAAGCATCATCTGGAAAACACAACTCATTTTTGTCTTGTGGACATTACAGTACTTACAGTATATACATGGTTTCCTACACTCGTCTGACCTCTTAGGCAAAAGGAGACTTAAGGGATGGCACTGCTACTCCAGAACGGAAGCAATGCCTGCTAAGTTGAGGCCGTGGGTGTCGCTGTTCATTGCACAGGCACAAGAAACCATTTTTCCAACCTGTGCCCGGCATTACGCTAAAATCTCTACACCTCCTCTCAGTGGGCAACACGTAGACTTGTGTCTTTCAGTTTACACTTTTTTGCCCTACTCCAGAAGAAAGCATCACATGGTCGATATTTAAAAAACCCTTTCCTAGTGTCAGCAGATGTAATTCCTAGGAAAATGGAACTCCTCCTTTTATGCTAATGCTGCTTTAAAAATCAACTCATGGAATGTAAATAAGGCAGTACTCAATGGCAGGCACCTAGCAATTGTACAGAAATGTAACCTAGGTAAACAGTTGTCTGACAGCACAAAACTCTTAAAAATAATACTGATCTTCTGCAATATACAGTATGTACACAACAGCTGCAAATTTGCTCATACAATATCCGTTTCTAGAGATAAATTAGCAAAACAAGTCTTATGGATTCCGTTGTTCCATTGCAAAAGTATTCTGTAAAGTTGTAAACGTCTGGTACCTCTTGTGGTGGGGTATTTTCGACACGTGAGCGTCTGAAAATAAAAACCATGAGGTGAGTGCTGAGGTGAAGGCCGCTTTTCCCTACTAGAGCTTGACTGACGCCCTCAGCAAGTTTTGCTCACTGTTAGGACTATTCTTTGGTGCTTTCCTCCAATGCATTCCAAGTAACCAGATAACCACGGGTGGGAGGAGGACGGGAGCAACTCTAAAGTGAACCAGCACTTCTTGTTCTTTGTTATTTACAAGGAGAATGACCTTTCCTGCTTGGGGAAAGCAGCATGCACCATAGTGTCCAGAAGTAAAGAAATCAAAGCCCAACAGACCCTCTTTCCGTTACTCTCCTCCCTGTGGCATTCATGTTCCTCTTTCCACACTGGAAGACCTCGAAGGCCATCTCTTGTCTCCATGCTTCTCACTCTGCCTTGAGGTTCTCGAGGGAGAAAGAGCACCTGCTGCAGTGTTCCTAGTTGGCCCCACAGGAACAGCTGCTGCCAAAGCCTGGCCTTGACGAGCACTGAGACTGCTGCTGTTGGCAGGCGGCTGGTGAGGCAATGCAAACAGCCTAGAAGTCTTGCTTGCCGGACGAGCTCTCCCTTGCGGAAACTCAGCACCCTTGGGCTCGGTGTTTGACAGGGAGGTGGGCGCAGCTGCCTCCTCCTCTGCAAAGGGAAGCCTGCCCAGAGAACTTCTCCCAGGCAGGAGCCCAGCGTAGTGGGGCACTGAAGATGTCGGCATCGCCAAAGCCCTAGGCAGACGGCTTTGATCAAACATCACTTCCTCTTCAGTTTCAGCAGCTTCCGTAAGGAAGGGCGGTGGGAGGGTGCTGCTGCGCTTGCCGCAGGACTCGCAGCACAACTTCTTGTAGCCAGGGATGGAACAGTAACGTGCAAGCACTTCCATTTGACAGAAGATAGATTTGTCTCCCATACAGGGCTCATCTGCAAAACAAACGCAATGCTGATTTTAAACCCAGGGAGGACACAGACGTGCCTGGACAGCGTTTCGATGGGCACTGAACGTCCTGAGCCTACGTTTTCACAATGACAGACCCCTCTGGATATGCAGCCTGAAACGCCTGATCCCCTGAAAGAACACCCCAGCCCCTTTGCACAAGCTCTAGTTGGGAACCACAAAATCACCAGTCACTTTTAAAGTGTTGGCTCCTCTGCCCGCCAGAAGGGAAGAGGTGTGGAAAGGGCCACACGTTTTACGTTTGCCAAGGGCCACAGACAGCAACATGCCAGACTTGCCAACTGCCAAGCAAGAGGTAGTCCCTTCTAGCTTGAGGACATCATCTGTCAACAACATTAAAAACAATTACATCTTTCCTTAAAGAAAGTAACTCCCAGGCAATATCTCTCAAAGATGCCTCTGAAACGCTCTTTTAAAAAGAAGAAGTTATAGTTGCATAAAATACATTTCTGAGGTCTTCGGTGACCTAAACGTAATGGGAAAGCTGAGGAAAAGCTTGTAACACATCGATCAGCCCTGAGATCCCTTCCAGTTAAGTGTGTGGGATGCTTTTCAGGCAAGGAAAGGTTCTTCAAGATGTCAAAGATGTCTCAGAGATCTCCAAAACGACCAAGTTTCTTAGCGCATTTGCTGGATATTGGTTCCACAAACAGAGAGGCAATGCTCACAGTGGATACAACCAGCAAAGAGGAAAGCAGCAACACAAGAAGCCAGAGGAAAATGAAGGCGGGTGTTATATTGAGCGGAGCGCATATTGGCACATTCTCCCATTCACCTTCGGAGTACGACCAGTCACACGAGCCAAATTGTAAGTTTTACTGTCAGCAGGACTGGGAAAAACGTCAAAAGCTTCCAACACTCAGGAATAGCTGGCACTTCCAAGAATTTAGGTTCTGTGAGGCAATGTGAGTTTCAATTAAAACCTCACTCTCCTTTCATAGAAAAAAGCCAAATTCTTCCTCAGTTTAGGCCTCAGCACAGCTGTGGCAAGGCACAGGTGAAGGTAGGAGGTTAGCTCCAGGCATTCCAAATAACTCTGCTACTGTGGAGATTCAAATCAAGAGAATTAATATTTCCTTACTTCTCCTCCTGTCTGGGTCTAACCCATCCCACTGCTCATTTACACTGTTCCTTCTCTGCACAGTTCAGAATTTCACATGCCTTGTGCTGCATGAAAACCCAGCAGAATAATGCAGGCTAGGAGGCACCTCAGGAGGTCAGCTGGTCCGGCCTCCTGCTCGCAGCAGGGTCAACATGCATTCACACCAGCATGCTGTTGCTTTGAAGTCAGGGCATCTGTAGGCAGAAAGGCCGAAGTAATTGCCTTCCCACAGATGTCTACCGGCACCCTCAAAACAGACCACTCGTTCCAGCACTGTGCACCACCCAGACCTGTCTGCCTCCCTTGCAGGACTCAGCCCCGTGACCCAAACTCGGAGAAACACGGTGCATTTGAGGCTCTCCTCCATCTCCTGAACTGGGTGCTCCCACCTTGGGAAGGGGCCAGAATTAGACCAAGAACGTACAAATGCGTAACACTTCCCCGGAGAGAAAACCAGCAAGGGAGGGCAAATGAGTTGCTTGGTTCCTCCAATAACTATTCAAATACTCTGGGGAGAGAGCAGCAGGAAGTTTCCAGTAGCAGAATTTTCCTAAGATATCCCAGTTTACTTGAAATGGTCTTGATGCATTTGACTTCAATGGAAGGAGGACAAATTATCAGGTAAAAAGCCAAAAGCTAACCCAAACTATTGAGCTCTGTTCCACGTCTACTTCTGCATTCACAGCTAGTACTTATGTAGTCAACCTTTTAATGAGCAACAGATGGCTTGTAACACCACTTAGTAAAGTCTGAAATTCAATTAGCTTTCTGTACTGTGATGTTTTTTCACCTGGGTACTGATGCTACCTCAGCACATGTCAGCAGTATGTTAGGTAACCGAGTTGTCTGTCCTATTTTAAAAAATGAACTCGAGTCAGTGTCATCCCTCAGTCAGTGTCAATCGGCCCAATTGCACTGAACTCTGTAAAATTACCCATACTTGCATCAGTGGGGTTGCGGGTCACTGTTTATAAAGAGAAAATTATATGACTGTGGCATGCAATATAAACATTTTCCTTGCTCCTCATCCTGATGTGCTGCTTTGGAGAGCGGTTTACTGGCTCTTGGCAAAGCTAGCATTAAATCTGCAGCTTTGCATGGCAATATACGTAGCCCATGAAGGTAACATAAAACTATTTTCCGCAGGAATTCAGCACGGGAAATTCAAGGGCTAGATTCATCATTCCTCTAAACTAGAACAGCTAATACTGAAACCCAAATCTTTGCATCTCTTTATTAGTGCATCATATATAGGCCCATCATTATGCTTTCATGTTAAACACCGGATTTGGACAATTATGGCAGTCATCTAGTTCAGTACACACTGTGCTTTCTATCAGTATGTACCTCAAAGTAAATAATACTACCTAAAGCGACAAACCATTCAAAACAGTAAGTACCTAGCAATTCTTTTGCCTTGCCACAGGGACAAATGCACTTTATTTGGTCCTGGTGTCTCGTGGTTCATTTTTCTGAGAACAGTTCCCGATGATACAGATTTCATGACTCAGATAGAGAGGGCAAAGGCTGGGTTTTGTATTTATCTACATTCCGGAGATTCAGCAAGTACAATCTGGGAACTGAATACTCACGTAATCCCTTCTTTTTATTTTTTAGGTTAATTCTGCACAACCTGGTCAACCATTTCCTACTGAGTATGCAAGTGCTTGTATTATTGAGTATGTAAGTGCTTGTATCCTTCTGCTGACGTTCAGGGTGAAAATTCTCCTTCTCACAATTCGTTACTTGCTTGGCGGTAACTAAGAGTAGAAGACCTAAGGAAGCATACCGGTTCCCTGGGGCATCTTTCAAAGATGCTAGATTACTAGAAGCAATTTTAAATTAACCCCCACATTGTCCTGCTAGATTTTAGGGTTGCTACAGCTCTTACAAAAGGTATCACTGTAACTTTACGTTACTTGGTGACAGCATCCCGCTGAAAAATCTTGCTTTGAGCTAAAACTTGGTATTTGTGGACTAAAATTTAAAGCAACAGGTGAGTATTTCTTCATCCGGTGTCATGTGTTGCAAAGGCGGGATATCTCACATAAAGACTTTGGCAACCATCTATTCTCTACGGGTTCTTATGTAAAGCCCATCAGTCTAACTAAGTACCACACAATCCATTCTTCTCATCCGGGACAGATGAGAACAGAAATCTGACAGTAACATCTCCACAGGCATAGAAACTTGACTGCAGCTCAGATGATTGCTCCGGGCCTGAAGGATAAAATTCTGCCTCGCCTTTTTCTTCTAGTCACAGGTACATACAAAATTTAAGTGACATATCTATGGGAGGTGCCCTTGTTTTTCCACATTACAAGACTCAGCTCCACTGAGGCACATTGTGGAAGAGCTGGCGGCTCTTCTCCCATATGCAGACAGGTCACTCACTGTATTTGTGAAACGGAAGAGAAATACCAATGTACCTTCTAGCACCATAGAAATCACACCAACTGTGGCAAACGTTCATGACAACTCCATCAAGATTGAACTCTCAGCAGTCTTGCATTTCTATAACACATAATTCAGCCCAAAGCACCTGAGACAGACTAATGTTTTGCTAAGTCTAACGCCCTAAACATCAATATAGTCATTAGGGCTATACAGATCGAAAAATAAAGAAATGCCACACATCACCAGGCATTAAGAGTTCATGTAGATAAATCTTACAGAAGACTATCTATATTTTAATTATATGCCCCCAAAGCATACAGAATGCTGTAGAAACCACAAGGGTGGTGAAAAAGAGAGACTATTTGGCCTGAAAGAACACTGTCAAACAACTCAGGGCAAAGCTTGAAAATCCCAACGCTTGGTGAAAGTGATGGCCCAAATCCCTGAAGAGAGCAGAGAGGTTTGTGCTCAAAGAGAAGAGTCAAGCGTTTGCATGGCCAAGGAGCAGAAGCCTTGGGGACCCAGGTGGTTTTGTCAAAGGCAGGCAGGGCTTGGCTGGATGTTGCTGCCTCTGCCCTACTAGTCCACAGCATTTTCCTACAGTTTGGGCTGTGCTGTATGTGTGCTGCGGCAAGGCCAAACAGATCTGTGCGCTTTCCTAGCCATTCTTTCTTTTGTGTGTGTGTTTTTGTTGCTGTTGTTTTTTTTTAATAGTTGTTGCCATGCGTACTCTTCTCAGGAAACGTACCTGGGTTTCAGAAGCCTGTTAGGCATCCCCATTATCTACATGAGACCATAGAAATCCTTCATTCCCTGGGGCATACAAGAGCGGGTGCATTTTAAGCCTCCACAAAAATAAAAATACAAAGAGTATGAACTGATGTGATCCAGCTGGCATTTGTAGAGGGCCTGTACAAGGCCATCTATTGCTTAGATCCTATGCAAGTGGATCCTAGGTCATATAGGTCAGCAGCATTTGGCTCTGACTGCTCGCGGTGAGAGACGCACAGTATTCTCACAAGCAGAAAAAAGACTGTGCGATGCTTAATTTTGGAAGGCAGGAATTTAACGCTGGCTATTCAAGAAGATCCCAGCTGCTATTTAAAGCAGATAAGCACAAGATCCAAACTTTATCTGAAGAGCCATTGCAAGATGTAGCCTAATTCCTTTAGTTTGGGGAATATTTTGATCACCAGCAAAAAATCACTCCCCAACAGACAGAACATTTTAAATCCTGTACTTGTTTGTAAAGTCAGAGAGAGTGATTTGCTCCCACCTAGTGGGTAAACTACTTAGAAAATGCTTCTTGTTCCCGGAATTGTTTTCTGCTCCGAGTTTTTCCACTGGCAGCAGCAGAAGACAAATACCAGCAAAGCAAACACCTTTCCCAGACTTGTGGCAAGCAGAGTTCGAGTCACTCTGTGGGAAAAGACCCTGCACCCCCTTAGGACACTAACTCTGTATCTTCCACCAGTGGTCTGAGTGTTAGAACTGTCAGCAGGGATCTAAAAGACAAATAAACCCCCAAACTAAGGGAGTCATGGGCCCAAAGGAAGAAAGACTTTACCGTCACAAAATGATTAACAATCTGTCGGAAGAAGTTCCATGAGAATAATAAAATGAGATTCTCAGGCCCACCCCCAGCCTCAATTGCCAGGCTTGTAAACTTTTCTTGGGATTTAAAGGGTCTACTTGGGTCAGCCCTCACTTCTAACACCGAGTTTGGCTTGACTGAACAAGAGGGCACATCTACCTGGAAACAAAAGCAGGGAGGTCGCTCATGAACGGTATATTTTCTAGCATGCAAGGTGTGAACAATGTTGTGTGGTTGTCACCTGACAGTGTCATCACTTCAAAAGGCAAGTACAGTATCAGTTTGGTATGTATCATACCTCTTCCCAGACATAGGCTCTGCCTTGTTTCGGAAACCTGTACGCATTAGCACAGAAAGTTTACCAGGTAGAACTAAAGCTGCAGGTCAGATTCAAGACAGGTCGTTTAATGTTCCTTGGCACAAGATCGCTAACGTCTCTACCCAGCACATGATGAGCGCTAGACATGCTGCTCCGAGAAAGGAACTGCTACCCTCATCTGCTGCAGTCATTTTCAGATGTTTTCTTACCGTTGCAAGGAGTGAGTTTACAACCCCTCACTGATTCTGGCTTTTCTCCATCACACCGGTCACCAGCACGGCATATGATCTGCCGGGTCTCGGTTCCTTCCCCGCAGGTCACAGAACACTGTGGAACAGACACAAGACAATTCAGGACACTCAGCAGTCCCAGCAACGTGCACAAGTTAGGTGTCTAAAAGAACCCAAGGTTGCCTTTCAGGTCAGGCTATACATTCCAGCAGTCTGTTTTGTAAGCAGGCTTCGGTGAGGGTCGACACTCTGGACAAATACGCAGAGGAGGAGGATGGTATTCTCCCTGGTTCCTGATTTCTGTAAGGTTAAATTTATTATAAGAACCTATGAACGTTGCTACTTATTCTTCCTGTAGTTGATTCCTGATCTGGACAGCGTAACATAAAGAACATATAAGAACACAGAAAACTCAGCGTCCACAAGTTACTTCCCTGGGCTATAGTGTTCTGCTCTTTATTCCTGTCATCCTAACAACATTAACACTTGCGGAAACACTCTGGGATTCCACTGCAGTACAAGTTGGGAAAAAATGTTATGCTCTCCTCAGAAGCAGGGAAATGAAGAGTTGGCAACTTTATTTGGAGAAAAACAAACAAAACCTCAACCTTTGTTTTGCAGGATTTTCTCTCTCCTGTGTTGACTCTTTTCTGTGTTGGTTTCTAGAAAGTCGGGAGAGCTGTAGCAGCCCTTCAAGTTGGAAGGCCCCGTCTGTTGCGGATTTTAAGGTTTTAGAGTACTCTGAGCAATGGAGTCAGCCCAGGCACAGCACTGGCATCAGAGGCACGAGATGTTAGCAAAGGTACGTTACTCACTCACTGCTGAGGACATGGGAAATACTTGACTGCTGCTTGCCCACCTCAGACCAGGGTCCAGCTTTCCACTGCGCAGGGCACGGTACTCGGTTGCACGGCCTGCGGCTCTCAGGGCGATCTCCACTACAGTACTTGAAATGCACAGAGCGGTTTGCACCATCATGAAGGGGCTGAATGCAACGCACAGTGCGGAGCTGGTAGCCAGAATTCCCACAGGTTTTTGTGCAGTATTCCCACTCATCTGCTACCCAGCTGGGAAGTAGAAAGGAATAACAGGCCATCACAACCTTCACCTAGGATCTAAAGCGCTGCTTTCTCAGGCAGGCCTTAGCAGAAGATTGTTTGTGATGAAATCCCTCCATACGATCAGTAACCATTCTTCTAAAGGTAGAAGAAACCAGGGACTCCACTCGAGAAACCTACCAGGAGCCCCCCACACCCGGCTCGGTTTAACTTGCACACCTACTACAAGCAGCAATCAGTGATACTTGTATGCGAAACATACTTACAGAGGCTGTGTGCATTCTTGAAGATTGCACATTCTCCGAATGGGCTTTGGCTTTTTGCTGGCTTCACAGAAGCTGCGATGAACCATTTTGTTATCACTTTTCCGGCGGCACCCATATTTGGTATACTGGAATCCTGGGAAATATTTCAGAAAAATCAGGGGGAAAATGCTGCTGCTGTTGGCGTTTTGGGCTTAAAGACAAGTTTCATGGACTCTTTTAGGGTTTTGTGAAAGATCTTTCATGAAAGCCTGGTATTTATGAAAGATATTCGCTGGTATTTAAACCCGCTCGCAGCTTGTTCAATGGTCAGGCATAACATGCGTGCAGAGTGCTCTAAACTGGGGATGCTCTTTAAAATATGGCACTGTGATAGGTTTGGAAGGCGAGAAGGGACCGTTAGGATCCTGTAGTCTAACCTCTGCATCGCACACACAATCACGGCACAGGGAGAGGAGAAAATACTTCCTTAGCATCAAGCAGTATGTCACTGGTTAACCTGGGAAGGAACCCACATCCAAAGTCTCCTTTTGGTTGTGCCAGCCCCAGATCACATCACCTACTCCATGGCTGGACACAAGAGTTAGAGTTGCTCTGACATTTACAGAGCCCAGTCTCTGTGTAAGTAGCAATACGCATGCCACAGGCAAACTCTCTACTTCCAAACTGGGTTTGGGTGCTGAATTTAGGCACCTCAAAAGGATTTTTCCTTCCTAGGACGGAAGCGCAACACTTTTGAATAATGAGACACTTAGGTATTTTAAGCTTGGGCACCCCAAATAACAAGCTACTCTTAAACAAGGAAGCCCATGCTTTCTAAAGCATTCCTTTCTCCCAAGTTTTACTTTTCTACTTTTGATAATTTGCCCTTCCTCACTAGAAGCTGTTGCATCGTCTGTTTACCTCCACCGCAGGGTTTGGAGCACTGGGACCAACTCTTTAGCGCCCACTCAAAAGTATCTATTTCCTCCTGTAGGACGTTGTTGCTGTTGATAGTTGGTACTGAATCCTCGTGAATGATGTATTTGTAAGTCAGACTAGATCTCGTGTCGTTCTCCCGAGGAATGATCTATTAATAATGAAATGTAAACAGTAGCACAGTACCAAAGCTATAATTTATTCCTTTGCAGAGTAAAGAAACCAAGGCCCGGTTCTTGGGGAAAATGTGGAAACTGCTAGTTAACTAACTGGAAGAAAAAAAAATCTTCATCTTCACCATCAGAACTAACAGTATTAAGATCAACACATTGAAAAACGCAGCTATGTAAAATCAGATACCTTACTAGAATAGGATTCTGACCTGGCCATGGTGGACACCACCATCTGGGATGGAAGGATGGTGTGGCCCAGTAATATACTTGGCTGGAGAGCAGGGTTGGTCTCAAACACGGTTTGACCTGGAGCCTGCTCCAGTGTCATTTTTGGTCCTCTGACGGTGTCCCACTGATGTCAGGCAACACCAGATTGGGCTTACGACTGACACATTACCGCTGCGTGAACGGGCAGCAGTTTATGAGGCTATTTCCACACTATTCCACACAACAGTATGGAAACACTATTGCCTGGAACACTAAACATGGCAGTAGGGATATAGTCTCAACACCATTTTCCTTTAGCAGCTAGTGCAAAAAGAGCCTCAGTCTGTGAGCTATCTCCCCTGCGCGCATCTTTCAGAGAGGCATTACACAACAATGTTTTATCTCAGCACAAACTCCACCCTGGCCGTGCGCTTTCATTAAAGACCAAACCACCGACTCCCCACCGTTTGGCATATAACCTACCAGCACAACCACTGCGTCGTGCAAGGGTCCGTCCGTGTGGAGAGTTTCTATGTCATCTTCTATGTTGTATTCCCACTCCACGCCCAGGTCGATAAAAGATCGGGATCTGGCTTCCTCCCCTTTTCCGTTCAGAATATAGTGTCCTGTAGCCTGGTTCTTAATTGCTAAAAGGAGTGCAAAGAGTGGCTGTCGTGCCTCCCATCACATCATCTGCAATCATGGGGGCTTTACGTGAAACGTGACAGGAGATATTCTAGAAAGACTTGCAACAAACCGCTGGCAAGTGCTGTAGATGCATCGGCTTGGAGGAAGGCCCCAGGCCCCAAGGCCATCTCATGGGGCCACCACATTCCAGTCGGAAAACAGATGCAGTCAAATACTCGATTCACTTTTGTACCTCCTTATGCATACGACTTAGATAGAGAAACAGAGCTAGCGATGGATTTAAGTACCTCTTCAAACGTAACATGCACATTTCTCACATTAGCTGAGTTCCCAAGAAGCACAGAGAGTAACAAGGAACTCGGTTAGATCTTCAGAATCGCCCATCTTCCCAATTGGCATAAGACCAAAACCAGTATTACTGGGAAGGCCTACTAGTAGAACAGAGGCCTCACTGACCTAGAAGTACATTTTTTCCATCACATGTTTCATTTGCTTTAGTGTAGATACGTACGTATCAGATTCTAAAATGAGCAAGCAAAGAGCTGAGGCATTTAAACACCTGAGGAACCACTTGGTCTTTGGTTCCGGCAACTTGACAGTCATGTACTGTGGGGACTACTACTATGCTCTGCTTACAAGCCAATGTATTAGAAACCTGAAAGATGACTGTCATTGTTTCTTACACCACTTTTTGAGGTCTGCAGTACCTAGCTGGGAGCTCGATGAAGCCACTTACTGCCAAGGCAAACTGTGCTGCTCTGAAAGTTACTCTCAGGCTATGCTTAGTCCAAACGAGGCTCTTGTACCTCCCAGCCAAGAGTTCCCCTCTTGACACTGAAGCCATTTTTCCTTTCTTTTTTCCCCCTCTATTCCCACTTTTTAAAATAACTAATTTAAGTCTTCCTGAAGAGTTTACATCTCAGATGCCGCCGTAGCGCAGAAGGAGTTGACTAAAAGCCTGTTGAAATCCATGGAAAATATCATCCCTCCGGTGTGAACTAAAAATCCCTTAAACACGACAAAGTGGTAAGTAGCAAGATACAAACCGCTTGACAATCAGATGAATCGCCCTACACAAGAAAAATCCCAAATGAAATGCACTGCAGAATATACCACAAGTTCCCCAGTCTTCTTTCCAATAAAAAAGTTGTTGCTCACAATCCATAGCAGATAAGTAAACATATGGGACTGGAGTCACAATAAGAGTAGACAAGAGTTCTTACCCTGGCAATGCCAGTTTAAACATGAGTGATCACAATCCTTTTTTTAGTAAACATGCAAATCGAGGTCAGTTTCAAATTTTGAAGAATTCAGATGAGAAGTAAATACTTGATGGTTAAGCTTCTGCTGTAGGACTCAGTCCTTAACATGCAATTCTAAAAGCCTAAATTCTACACTCGGGACCTTAATTTGGTTATCTCCTTTCTCAGGTTCTCCTGCATGACTGTCCTGTGCCTTCCATCATGCTTCTAGACCAAACCTGAGGAGAGAAGCACTTACCAAGAAAGTGAGGAGAAGCCTCGTCTTCTTGGATAAACACATGTCGAGCACCAGGAGGGATATCAAACATCTTAAGGTACCCTTTGGCATGTGTAGTAGTCAATGGAGAAAGCAGAGAAGGAAAGAAAAAGTCATAGCTGTGGTTAGTAGCAGACTACTTTATCCAGCTCCTACTTGCAGAAGAGGGCATCCATCAGCTGAGCAGCAGTGTCAGAAAGAAACCGACCAAATAGTTTTGTAACATACTGGACTGCACTTCCTTTTGCTTTGTTCTCTTTCAGAGAGAAAAGAGAAAGCGGTTACAAATCTATTTGTCATGTGACTGACTACACTGGTAGAGGCCCTATCAATTAACAATTCAGGCAAAAGACAGGAATATGTTTCCTATGCTTCTCAGCATATATGGGAGTGAAAAAAAAAAGGCTTCCTGATAATTTCTCCACAGTACCCATCAGCCTGGCTGTTGGAGATGAGTTTCCTTGCTGTCCTGTTAGATGCTAATGTCTTGCATGTGTCTGCTTACTTCTAAAACATCAAAGATTCTGGACAAAGGCCGATGTAGTACGTACAGAGTAAATTGTTGCTACAGATCAGGAAGGGCTTGTCTCCATGGAAGGTAACCCAACCTGTCTCTAGCTGGCAATGTAAAACGCACCAGTTAACATCATTAGTGCTGAGATGAAAAGGCTGAATACAACTCTCTACAGCTAAGAGTAAAAAAGTGTTCCCAAAGGAAACAATTTCTATTGGAGATTTTCATTATTTACCAGTCCAAACCACAATTAATGACTGCAGCCTTCAGTAAGTAGTATTGTCGTTAGGAAGACTAAAATCCCTCCTGAGGACCTGCCAACAGGTGCTTTTAAATCACATTTTAGGAGCGAGCTGCAAGAGCACAGAAGTGGTTGATTTTAATTGACTGTAAGGATGTAAAACTGGAAAAGTGTATGGTATTTTCATGCTTCTGTATTTTTCCCTTTCACGCATGCGTATTTAAAAGAAATCTCCTTGGATCGACTTTTTTAAAGAGTATTTCATATGGATAAGTTCCTCTTTGTTTTGCAGTCTGCTATATAATCTTTCTAAGTGAAAGCTACGTAATCCTGTCCTGCTATAGAAGCAGCGTAGATGTGACCAAATTGGAAGTGTCTGTACATTGCAAACACACGACGTAGCATGTAACTAATTCTGTTTCGTCCTGGGGATTCTGGGACTAAGCGGTGCATGTATCGGGTATCACGTATCTGGCAAACTGCAGCTCCTTGGAAAATCAAAAGGAAGAGAATGACGAGCTCCAAATATGTAAAATCCCGCTTCTGGCTGATGCGTGGCTGCACAAGAAGCATTTGCCAATCTCTGTACTGCCCATCTCTCAAGCATATGAAACATAACGCTTTTGCCTGGTTTGGTGTTATCTGTCAACGACTAGGTGGAGAGGAGAACTGCGGCGAGAACTCTCCAGTTGCCATGGATGCCTCTCTTTCTGCAAGCACTTGAAACTTACCCAGAATATTTTTAGACTCCTTTGTTTCAGAAAGGGAAATATTGCGAGCTCCTTTGGGCAATGTAAATGCTCCTCTTGTCTTCCCTTAAATAGAACATCTGTAATTAGTGTTATGGGAGAAAAGTCTTGTTATTTCATTGACTAAATTGTGCGCCAGATGTGCTTTACAAATGTAATGTATAAATTACGTTACATGCTCAAATACATTTAAATACTATTAGACACATCTAGCAACTTTTAAGAGTCAATGAAAGTTAGACCAGGAGGTAGGTGATTTTAAGCTGGATACTTGCAGATTGCATTTTCCAGAAACTTGAATTCTTTTTGGCACCTCTTGCTTAAATGTTTCCCTGTTGGAAGAGGTCAATTAGTCTTTTTCATGGCTAGATCGTCAAAGTTACTGTAAAACAATTTAACATTTCATCAACACACATCTTTTGGAAATAAGTGGCTGATTAACAGCAGTCTTCCCTGAACTATCTCCTCGCACTGCCTGCCACTCTGCATTGTCGTGCTTTCCAGACACTGACGATACTGCGAAAACGCCAGCCTGAACACTGTTGCCCCATAAGACAACGCAGGGGTCCTCAGTGGTGCACGCGCAGAAGTGTGGAGCCAGAACATGACGTGGTCATTAGCACAGTTTGCCCTCTGCTGGCCTCTGTTTTGCCCTCTTCATTTCTCAGGAAGTCAGCCAAACCACAAGCATGGGCACTATCACGCCTGCCAGCTATGGGCTATGAACCACTCCCGCGGCAAGCGGAAACTAACCTCCGGTAGAAAAAGCTCTTCTTGGACTGGGGTACAAAGTTGTTACATGGACATTCCCTCTGCCTCCCAAATTATAAGCATTTTTTAGGGAAAAGATCAGAAACACTCTCAGGAGACTGAGCGCTTGTTTCTGCTGATTACAGTTTTACGTCAGAAAAGCACAGTAACTGCCCGCTCCAGAAATACACAGGGCTATTATGAGGCTCAAGTGGTTGTCTAAAGTCCATTAAAGGCAAGGTTTGAGTGACTGCTGCGTTATTCCATCCTCAACACATCCTCCTCAGGAGAACCATCCCCTTCAGAAAGGAGACGTAAACAGCAATTTTTACTGTTGTGTGTTTCGTAAGCATTTTCTGAAGCCTACGATTTTGTAACAGTTCTTTCTCTACTGCCTCTGATAATCAGGAGGAGTACAATTTTCCAGCTGGCTTGTGGTAATTAAGAAGTATTTGCAGCAGAATCTTTTATGTATTTTATTTCCAGTCACACATCCACTTACTTTTTGTCTAAGTTTAGTTTGTCTACTCGCTTACTGACCAATTCAATTAATATTACAGTTCATCTTGCTTCATGGCAGCAATTGCTAGCGTTTAAACTGTTAAGACAGAGATTCACTACACCGGTTGCTAAGCCTTTCCCTGCTCTATCCGAAAACACTTTGTGCTATAGACCAAATGCTGCCGGAATAGCAGTGTTCTCCATCACACAGGAGATGCGTATCCGTGAGTAGCTTCCCTAGAGTAAAATCAAAGCAATATAGGAAAGCCTTAAAAGGCCAAATATATTCAGCAAAATATACAAGATAATGCTGCCCAGGCTCAACAAATAACTGACTAAACAGAAATCGTTGAAGAAGTCCAAGGAGTTCTTCAATTATTTTTAACATAAAACGTGTTGTAAAATACCCCAGAGCAGTCTGAAAACGTTAACCGTGCCTGCCGTTCTTGTTTTTGAGCTAACAAGACGCTATCATACGCTCGATTTCATGTCAGTCGCACAGCTTCAAAGAGATGAGAAATGAGGACTCTTACCAACACATTTTTATACTGGGTTCAGAATTAAGCTGGACTTATGTCTTCACTGTGTATTTGACTAAAGGGCTGTAATCTGCGAATAAGCATCGTACAAGACCTATGTGACATGAGCATCCAGGTCTCTAGATGCACAGAAATGCAGACTTCCACTTCACAACTCTTCCATGAGTTGAGATTTCCGAGAGAAACTTGTGAAAAGCTTAAACTCTTAAGGGAGAAACAAGCGTTTCCTCTAGTCCTCCTAGAGATAAACGGGTGCTACTACTCTTAGTGTCAGGTGAAGCGCCTCAATTTCTTCTGCATTTCACTGGCAGAAGAACAGGCTGTTTCTGTTGAGCATAACTTGATGTATCGCCACTGACCACAGACATTGGCTGACTGGGCTTCAGCAGGTACAAAGAACAACTAAACACACTCTGCAGAGTGAGTATTTCTGGCTACGCTAGACTTAGCGCAAGCTTTCTTCTGAGACGTCCTTTGAAAGACCAAAACATTACAGTCTTATTAAATAAAAGATGTAATTTATCAAGAACTGCACTAGTTGTACACGTAATCCTGCAACTTTGCTTTCAATATCCTAAAATAGGTTGCATCGCTGATCAGAATGCAAAAGCCCTAGCTAGGACAGAAACACCAGAGACAACAGAGACCATATCCAGAGGCATGAAAATGCTCTTCCTACCAAGCTTCTTGGGAGTCCGGGTAAAGGTTCCCTTCACAGTTCGGCAATGAGAGTTATCTCCACCACAGACACCACATTTATCTTCAAGCTTATTGGAACCAATCTCCTTGTCACAACCCACTTTCTGCAGAAGGAAGAGCAAAAAGAGAGAGGGCTTTGTCACCGACTGGAGCTTTAATTATGGTGGAAAGCAATCTCCAAGTGAATGCCTAACACTGATCTATTTAATTTAAACACCGATTATTGGCAATTCTGCTGCTGGATAATGCTTTCCGCATGAACAATTCTTGCATTATACTCACTGTACTTCAAGACTAAAAAAGGATGGGACAGACAACAGAATAATGGACACAAGTCTTTTCATAGAAGAACGTCAGTCCAAGGAAAAAAAAAAGGCAAATGAAGCCACCAGTTTAAGAAAAGTGCAGTATTTCCATGGACTAGAGCTGTACCACAGCTTTAATTCATGTAAATTTCAAGCCAGTTATGAGGAATGCCACACTGCAGTATTTCATATTTCATTTGAAAATGGCTTCCAAGTCTCTCTCTGCACTATTTACCGAGTTCTTTTGATTGATTCATTAAGGAATACAGCACAGTTCAAACGCAGCGACGACCTTGGGAAACTGTCACTCACCACACATTCTCCACGAACACAAATGCTGTATGGATCTTTATAGGAACAGCGAGTCCCATCATGAGCCAGCTGCTTCATATAAGCAACATCTCCTGTTTCTTTGGACTGGCAGTACAGGTGACATCTCTTATTAGCTGTGCATCAAGGAAACACAAGTATAATTGCCTAAGTTAACAGCAAGCCAGATGAGCTTCAGAAAAATATCCCTCTAAAGGAGTCAAGAGAATATAACAGAAATATAAAGGGTCTTAAATAGACAGCTGTGAAATCAATGCCCTTCTTAAGAGGCTCCTAGGACTGAGTTCCCAACTATTCTGAAAGTAGCTTTCATGCCAACCCTATTGGGAACCAGGCTGAGTTGAGGAAATCACAGGGGGGCAGAATAAGTACAACTGGGGTTTCAAAACGAGTCTGTGAGAAGATCGTGCTAAAGCCACAGCAAGCGCTGAGAGGATCTGGCTTTCCTAGCCTGTCTGGAAAATGCCAGTCCAACACGTATTTCCCAGTCAGGGACTTAATCTAACTCCCTAGCCCTGAGTATAAAGGGTATCTCCGGAGACAGGAGCATACCTAACTCAGGACAAAATGCCGGCAACTCAAGGCCTCTGCAGCACCTTTCCGTAAGCTAAGAATCTGTCTTTGTACTTAAAGCTGTGCGTGTGCACTGGAAGTCACGAGATTATCATTCATAGTAAAGACGGACAGAATCAGGCTGAGACAGACGGATCTCTAAAAGAGTGGGAAAATACTTTCAGCGGCAATTACTACCAGCAGCTGTGATCAACACTTTGCACTCTTGCAGACAAACAGCTGTACAGGAGAGAGGGCAGGAAGAGGTCCTTCAGGACCTGAGAGGCAGCTTTGCACACGTGCCCAACAGCAGAGAGCCAGAGCAACAATGCAGTACGTTAAAAGCTGCGAGCACTCTGAGGAGGAGCTGAGAGCCGGAAGCATCTTGTTGGATCATGTTCTCACTAAGACTAGGGAGAAAGTTAAGCCAAGCCGGCTGGGCTGGGCTGGGCTGGGGAAACTGCAGCTCTCTCACAGGGCATCTCTCCTTGCTTTATGGTGCCATCCTTTTTCCTGCTCTTTAGTAGCCTCACCTACGCTTGCTGGCACACCGATCATTTCTGCCTTCTGCACGGCTGACAGAACAAGACACCACAACCTCTGGGATAGTCCAAGGTTAACCTGTCACAAAGGCAAATAAGTGAACTTACAGTCAGGGTGTTCATAGGGCAGCCAGTGGTGTTTGCTGTTCTGATACTCCAAGTGAGAATTGCGCTGCTGACACTGTTGCGCTCGGAAGTCCTCAAAGTGCTTTGGACACTCTTCTGTATTGCAAAGCTGAAACTCGAAGTTGACCCCAGCACAATCTTCACCTCCGTTAATTGGCCTAGGAGGAGAAAACATTTCCGATTCTCAAACCCTCTAGACATTCGGCCTGGGGATTTTTCTTCTGTCTTCAGGGAAACTGTAGCCTTAATTTTAAGGAACAAGTTTGCAAAAAAGGGAGGAGAACTCCCAGAAATGGAAACACAGCTGTTAATACTGCACAGGTAGGCATTTGCAATGTAAACTCGGTGCTTGCCCACACATCCCAAAGGCACCTGCTCAAATGCAGAAGCCATACGTGTGCGCATACATGCTGCCAAGAATGGATTTACAAGTGGCAACTCCCTAACAGTCTACCCTGCAGCTTGGAAAGCCTGCGCACTATGTTCCCTCCTTTCTTTTATAGGAGTTCAGTATGTCATGGGATGATTTTCCACAGGTTTTTCTCTCCAAACGCTTGCGTTCTCCACAAATGGTCCTGGCTTTCTGCAAAAAGCCTTACTGGAAGGGGCTTGAAGAGAATGGGTTTTTTAGCAGCATCCATCCCAGTGTGCAAATGTCAGTTAAACTCACACCCGTAAAGATCGCTAGCCAACTCCAACTGCCACTTAGCTAGGAGACCTACATTGGATTGTTGCACTGGCGTGTTCGGAAGCGAACTCCAGTTCCACAGGATCGTGAGCAGGAGCCAAATTTGGTCCAGGGTCCCCAGTTGCCATCCTGTTTCAGCTGGTTAGCGTTCTTCCACATGCAGTGGCCTTTATAGCACCACTGAGGGAAACCGGGCAAAGCAAACAGACAAGAACACAAACACAACCAAGCCAAACGTAGAATCACAAGAAAATGAAAAGCACACAGATGTCAACTCATGAGGCTAAGAAGGGACATCTCACAGAAGAGACTGGAGACAAATCGGAGCCCAGACTTTCCTGGGGCCGAAAGAGTCCAGGGTCTGTGCACTCGGGGCCCTGCAAGGAGCTCATCTCCCCGCTTGACTGCAGTCTGCTCCACGGGAAGCAGCACTGCTGGACCTGCGCCTGCATCCTTCCATAGGCAGATACCTGCAGCTCAGCATGTTCTGCCCTTCTTTCAACTCCTTCAAATAATTCTGTGTTTCACTGGAGTCTTAGTCTCCACCATCTTTTTAAAGGGATTTTCATGTTCTAAATATTGCAGCACAGGATGCAGGTCTTGCGGAGGCTTAGTGTTTTTTTTTTTTCCTTTTTTTTGGTCATGCTGGCCAAACAGCATACTCATTCGAGTAGGTGGAACAGAGGGCTAGTCACTCTGCAGGGTGGTTTTGGCTGCTGGCTAGGGCATATTCAGATGGTATAAGTGGCTCTCCTGTATCTCCAAATACATGGAATTTGCTAAAACAAACATTGATTCGAGTATCATTTTGTAACTGAATAGGGATTAACAAGCAGGACACCCACCAATGGGGATATTACAAAGGAAAAATAAAGAGCTGATCCCAAGCACCCAGAAACATTTAGCCACCGGACGTCTGGACCACAAGCAATAAGAAGAGTTTTGGACTGAGTACTCCCACCCTACAGTAACAGCATCATCTGCTACAGTGGATTCCCAAGGACACTTTCCGAGCACTCGGCAGATGAGACAAGAATCCACAAAAGGTAACAAGAAGGCCACAGAAGAGGCTGAGGGAGGGCGACATCTAAACTGGGGTTTCAATGTGCTGAGCCGCCACCATTTACCTGGTACTACAGCAAACCTTGAACGCGTCACAGAACACTGCACTGGGAAAGCCCAGCTCCCCCTTTGCACCTCCTCTGGCTCCACCTAGGAGGTGCTGGGCAATTCCCTGATTTCCTCTGTGCCCCTCCACCTAACTGAAGTCGAGAAACCCTGCAACCGATTTTGTTAAAATAAAAACATACTGACAGCGCAATACTCACTTTTCCAGGGGCACACTCGGTCCCATCAAGTGGAGGCCCTTTCTTAGTCTTACAGAAATAGGGGTTATCTGGATGGCTACACCACAGCTGCTTGCATGGGTCAAAGGTGCGGAACTGAAAGGCAGGATAGTCATGAGATGAAACTCAGCATTAGGTTATCAATACTTTTCAGGTAAGGATTCAAACCACTCAGTGAATTAATCTCTCACACGGGGCTATCCCCTAAGTCAAGTATCTTCAGAAAGAAAAGGGCAATGCTCACTCCCTGCACCTCTTGGTCCTGGGCTGGTGAGAAGAGGAAAGCAGGAGACACCCCAGAAGGGGAGGAAAATAAGGTTTTCCCCTCTGCCTTGGGATCACAGGTTTGCTGCCACAAGTCTGTGTCGCGTGGGTCATGCTGCTGTCTACGTCACCTCTAAAATTGACCAAAATTACTAGCTTTCACCCACACATCTCTCTCTCCTCTCTACACGTCTATTTAAGCTACTCTACTAAGTGCTTGTCAACTCTGAGAAAACGCATATGAACACTGCAGCTATTAAACAAGGCCAAACACCAACTTGCTGAATGAACGCTTGTCTTTGGAACGACTGCCTTGGACATACCGCTGTGCACATTTTATAGCCGACACCAAAATCAAAGCGGCACTGCTCGTCCATGGAATAGTTGATGCCTGGCAGGTCAGGAAGCTTAGGCCAATCGTGTTCAAAAGGGTCGTCAAGAAGACAGTCATAAGAGCTGTGGAAAGACCGAGGGAAAAAAGCATGAGAAGACGCAGTAGCCGTGTTTTTGACCAGCAAGGTCAACGTACTTAGCCTCAGATGTCAACGCTGGCAATGCTTTTCTCCAACTCATTTTCTGTCTCCTTTATATACACTTCTTGCTCCCTCAAACACAGACAGTCCTTTCTGTAGGAACACTGCTTCGCGCAGCATGACTCGGCCTCGGCTGTGACTCAGCAAAACCCCCGCGTGTGCTGGGAGGCCACGGAGAGCCACCTCCAGCCCTTCTCGGCCCTCGAGATACATGTGGAATTTGCACTTTCCTTTCCTGTCACCAGAGGAAAAACACTCCCCAATTCTCACTGCCAAAGGGAAGCATCTCAGCGTGCTTCCAACCGGAGCACGGTTCCTAACGTAACACCTAACACAAAGCCCACTGTAGTCAATGGGAGCCTTTCCACAGACTTCTTTGGGCTTTGAACCACGACAGCGGTCTGAGAACAGGCCCTCTGACCTGACACCTACTGTATGCATACAGATGGGGCCCTGCCTATGCAAAGAGGCCGAATTAGCCTTGCTTTTCACTGGACTCCTGTTTAACTTGGAGCTCTTAAAGGACTGATACTGGCAGGCTGCTCTTTCTGCATGGGGATACATTTCACTGGAAGCTCTCAGGTTCTGGTAAGATTACTGTTCTGCACTTTATTTCTAGGAATGAGGTTTGTTCTCTAGGACATACAGGCTACGATGGGTCGATTCTTTAACTTTCTACTCAGCTTTGGCTGGCAAAAACAGCCATTTGCAATAGAGAAGGAAATCGGAGTAAGATCTAGGTGAACAGGTACGGACATGGAGGGAGGCCAGAGCCAGCAGGGTAGAGATCAGGCCCATGGCTCTCTGTGCTCTTGGTCTCGTCAGTTCAAATGCGCACACGCACATACACTCCACAACTTTTAACAGTTCCTCTTCTGAGGTTAGGGCTTCACCCCACCAGTTTCACAGCACAACTCCTACAGACATCAACAACCCTCCTCACAACTTTCAGAAACCTAGGGAAAACACTAGCTGCCTAAGACAGAGTCTGCTGGAGAGACTTCTGCTACCGTCCCCCAGAGAATGCAATGGGCTTTAAATAAAACCCCAAACGAAGAAGATTTAGCTTTTCTACTATACAGCTGAAGGGAAAAAAGTATGGCAGGAAAGGAGGTGATTAGAAAGCAGCGTGACTGCAGGAGGCCAGATAGGGACCGTCTTGCTGCTGCACTGAAGCACGGATAAGCCTCCTGGGATGCCTCTGAAGACTGAACCCCTGTTTGAAAGCAGAGAGCAGCCCACACCAGAGCATCCCCTTCCTGAAGATCTCTGAGGCCCCCGTACCGCTGTGTTTATAAAAAGACACACTTCCACAGACACAGGTCAGGTTTCTGACGTTTGTGTCTGCTCCTTCACGCTGGCATTGCCTCTCCTCTCCTCTTTGCTCTCTAACAGGGCAGCCCACTGGTCCCAGATCCCAGCCGAACAGCAAAGACTTCTGCTTCTTTTAGTAAAAAAAACTACTGCTGAGTGCTGACAGGTCCTTACTGTATGTATCTCTTGAGTTCTTGGCCGCTGCACCTGGACCAGTGGTAACGATGAAAGGCAGCCTGCACCAAGGGAGCCATAACACTCCCCATTGCTGTCTCATCGCCACATCTGTTCCCTTGCCCATCATGCTCCATTCCCAACCTGGAAAAAAAAAAAAAAAGCAGCATCAGAGCCAGGGCAATTTGGCCTCTTCAGCTGGTAAAAGAGCTGTGAAGAAAACAGGCTCTCAGCGACACGCCATCACTCAAAAGGAAGCTGTTTTCTCCGCTTCACAGATATCACCTGCATTTCAAAGAGGTATCTCCTTTGAGGCCAG